CCCCTACAAATAGCAAGTGACGCATTCCTTATGAGGCCGTTTCACATCCTCCTCATGATGTACGTGGGTAGAACACGGAATTCCATTCACGACACCCAAATAGCACTGTGAGGTTGCCTTTTCCAGCTAAATATAGCCACTCCGCGTGGAGTGGATGCATGAAAAGTTTATAACATGCTTTGCATTCAAGCACTTGAACAAAGGTATTATTATCTCTAGCGAGCAAATCAAACCGCCTGGTTCTGGGTATTAAGTCTCCCTAGAGGCTGCAGCTGGCAGATGACACCCTATTGCTCATTATTCTTGGACTGGGAGAGGAAACGGGCTCTTTGGTCGGGTTTTCTGCCTCGGTAACTTGCTCTGAGCTCACCCAGCAGAATTCCCAGGGAGGCAGCGGCCAGCTGGGCACCTACACCGGACTGACAGCTCACTCGTTCAGCACGTCAGCATGCTGGGGGTCAGGACGTTTAGCCAAGGATCTCCCCCAAGTGAACAGCTGAGACTCTTAAACCTTAGCAGAAAACTAGCTCCCACTTGAACTTTATTTCTATTGAATTTGAAAGACCAACGATTGTAATCCATTTAGTCTCCTAGCCTAGCTCAAGTAGGTAAAAATATATTCAAGCGTACACATTTGTGTCTTAGTTTTATCCACAACAAATAAAATAAATACTGGATAAATTTCTCATTTCAAGCTCCCTTCCTTAGGGGCAGACAGCCTAGAGAGAATCACCGTCCCCTTGCTCCCCTCATCACCGAGGGGATGCAGCAGGTCCTGCGGGAAGAGCGCTTGGCAGCACCTTTCCTGATAACACGCTAGCGGATCTTCCCGTCGGCATTTGGCTATCGGACAGCAAACTACAGGGAAGGTTTGTGGGCATGCACGGAGGAGAAGGGAACGCGAAGGACGGCTGGCAGCGAGAGCTCTGTATGGCTCTGCGGAGCCGGGAGAGCTACCGAAGTAGGGCAAGGAAAATACAATGAAAATGCAAAATTTCTCGTACAGCACCCCCTCCCGTGCAAAGCCTCGAAGCAGAGATGAAAGAAGATGCTGCTGTGAGGATTTCAGCTCTAAGCATCTGCAGCAGAGCTGCGCCAGTCCCAGCTACTTCAAGGACCACAGTCAAAAGCTGCTGTTGCCATTTCGTAATTTTAAGAGTACAATGCAAAAAGGAACGCTTTTACTTCAAAATCTTTTCAGCAACCACCTCAGGGTAGCCACTTTGTCAACCCCAATGCAGAAACAAGCACAGCCACTAACTCCCAGAGCAAATGCAGACCTACCAGAGTCTCCCCTACTGAAGTTTTCTTGGTTTTCCTTTTCTTTTTTTTCTTTCGTGGCTTGTTACTCAACAGAGGCTGCAAAGAGAAACAGAACAGCTGTCAGAGGATGCCCACAGGCTGGAGGGATGAAAGCTCCACAGGGAGAGGAGCATCTCCCACAGGGATCAGCACACCAGGAGAGCCTTCACTGAAACCCATATTCATCCTTTCAAGTTTGTCAGCCAGTGGAAATTAAGACACAAGGAGAAAAACGGAGGAAAGCAGCAAAGGTTTACAAATGCAAGGGTTAAACCTCAGCTGACTTCCATATCAATGTCTGAGACTACAAAACCAGGCAAGAAACAGCCTAGATATGCCAGGTGCAGAAGAAACGTTTCAGCCCTACTTCACTCCCTCGAGTAAACTTTATTTCCGTCCTTCTAGTGAGCACGACAGTTTCACAAGTCACTCTGACTTCCACAGAAACCAAGAGCTGCCCAAAAGCACCAGGCAACGTAAGCTCCTCTCACCGCCAACGCAGCCACTTCAGCTCCCAATGCCGTGTGGCATTCCCTAACGCAACAGGCACACTGCTGTCCATGCTAGCTCTTCCCCAGGACATACAGAGCTAAAAACTGCATTTCCAGGATCTACACAGGTCACGCAGCCAGTACCAGCATTACCAGAACAAGCCCACAGCTCCCGAGCTGGTTTCAGAACCAGGGGAACGTGCAGCCCTGATTAGGATCTACCAAACGGCGAGGAGACGCCCGCCGAGGGCTCCCACGTTTCTACCTGGGAAGGTCTGAGAGAAGCAGCAGGTGCTCCCTGCAGTGTTTACGCAGCAAATTCACCGGGTCAGGGCCGGCTGGAGCCCCCACTCGTGCAGGGACCGGTCGAGCAGAGCTCACACCGCACATCCCGAGCATTCCCAAGCCATTCCTGGGCTGGCTGAGGCCACCAGCACCGCTGGACCACGCACACAGTGGTCTCTGCTGCTCCCCAAACCCACGGGCACGCAGCCCCAACGCTGAGCCCCAACGGGTGAGGCCAGGGGGCCGATCTCCCTTCGCTCCTCCCCACCCTCGTCTCCAGTGAGATATGGACTAGACTTGCAATGTCAAATTGTTAATTAAAATGCCCCTTTCCTTATGTGCCTCTGCAGGAGTTCTGCAAGGAGACACTTCAGAGCTGATACCACAGAGGGGATCTGAACGCAAAACTACAACATGCTCCAGGAAAGAATAAGTTCAATATTTAGTTTACATCGCTTGGAGTCTTCACATCACCTGCTCCAAAGCAAACACCTCGCTGAGCATTTACTCGCCAACCCAGCCCAACGTACGGTGCAGAGCTCGATTAACTGTACAGCAAAGGGAGCAGAGAAGCAACCTCTGTTTCAGAATCCCATGTGCTTTCCTTCCCTCACGCTTTGCCTGACCTCAGCACAAGATTTTCCTCAGGATCCTCCCCTCCACGGCTGTAACATCTCCCCAGATCCCAGGCACAAACCCAAACTGCTCATTCTCCTCCAGATCCAGAGCCCCAAGCCCCTGGGTTTAAGCTCCCTCCGTGCATCCCTCCCCTGAGGCTCACCTCCTCAGCCTCTGACAAAACCCAGGTGCAAGGGACAAGAAACGCCCTTGTCTGTCACCAGAAAGCTCCTCAGTGCACGCAGGGAGAGAAGAAACCTCTCTGTGCCTCGCACGCGCTGCGGGTTTTGGATGGGACAGAGTTCATTTTCTTCGCAGTAGCTAGCGTGGGGCTGTGGATTGGATTTGTGCTGGAAACAGTGTTGGTAATACAGGGACGTTTTTGTTCCTG